ATATGGTACAACTGGGTAATACTGATTGTATAATTATGGATAACTAGTATTACTATCACTGATTAATAAAGTATAACTTGGTACAACTGGGTATTATTGATTGTAAAACTGTGGATAACTAGTATTACTATCACTCATTAAAAAAATATAATTTGGTACAACTGGGTATTACTGATTGTATAAATGTGGATAACTAGTATTACTATCACTCATCAATAAAGTATAACTTGGTACAACTGGGTATTACTGATTATATAACTGTGGATAACTAGTATTACTATCACTCATTAATAAAGTTTTTGTATTGTTTTGGCAGGATACAATGACCAACAACAACATCATACATTTTAAATGCAAAGGTTAGCAATATAGTATATTCTTGGCCTCCACTAATAATGAGAATCGTAGATGTCTTCTGCATGTGGAGGTCATCACTATCTCAGAAGTACTGCCAGATAAGCTTTCAAAAGCGAGGGAAAAAAGTTTTGCTGGTGTGAACTATGAGGAGTTACATTCGAAGGATGATGAAATTGAAGATAATGCCATGATTGTATACAACCAACAAGCAAACCAACAACATGAACGATAGAGAAGGATGATGAGACTAGAGAGGGTGGAAATATATCAGGTGAGTTGGTGAGTTGCGACCTGTTGTATATGGTGAGTTGCGACCTGTTGTAGAAGCTACACAGTTTATAGAGGCATGGGAAGACGGTTTGGGTCTGTATGTACATCAAAAAATTCTAAATAAGAAGGCAGTGCATGATTTAGTGGATAGAGGCTCATTTGTGAATTGTTTTGGTTTTGTTATAGAGAAGTCAAATAAGGTCAGATTAGTGTTGAATGTCGTCAAGGAAGCTGTAATGTTTGATTTCGTATTCCTTGGTTTGTAAAACTGTGTAAAACAACTTTTCACAACTTTTTTAATATTGGACAACTATGTAAAACTGATATCTTGTTACGTAATACTACTACTACTAATGAGAGTACTGGATAATACTGGTATTACTAATATAACAGGTAATACTTGGTAATACTGGTATTGAACCATAGAAATTATTTTTTTAAAAACAAAAAGACATTTGTAAACAAGCTAGTTTGCATTGTAAATGTAACAAAAAATGTTATAAACATGTATTTAGTGGACAAGTAAGAAATTTAGCATTATAGTTTGTTATCAAAGAATCTCCACAACATAAACCTTATACTTATAAGATCACTTTCTCAAATATAACCAATTTAGGATGAAAAATTTCGAAAAATCACTTTATACAACATTTTTATGCATCAAACACTCAGAATCATATGTTCATCGATTAAAAACAACTGTAAAACTAGAAAAACAAATTAGAAAGTTCTGTAATACTAATTATAATAGAAATCACCAAAAATAATACTATTTGAAAATTTGGTACAACTACTATCTTCTGGACAACTATGTACAAATTTGGTGGTGCACATGTGTGGAAAGATGGCGCACGTGCAACTCAAAATCGGCGGTTTAGTCAAATTTCCTAAATTTTTTCTAGGGTTTTCCTAAAAACTTGGTTCTTCTCTCTCTCTCTCTCCCTCTCCCTCTAACTCTTTTTGCGATTTCAAATTTCTCTCTCATAGCTCATCTCTCTCTCTCTCTCTCTCTCTTCTTTCTTTTCTTCACTCAATCTCGATTGTGGGTAATTCATTTTGTGCATAAAATTAGAACTTTTCTTGTTTGTTTAGTTTGAATTTGTGAATTTCAGTTCTGATTTGTTGATGGTTTCGAGTTTTCTAATGTTGGGTTTATGCATTTCTGGGTTTGTTCTTCATGCTTTTTATCTTCATGGTTTTGTATATAGTTATATTTGGTAATACTTGGTTGTTCTGAAAACGTAATACTTGGTATACTTAGGTTTGTCTCTTGTTACAGTGAATATAGACCATCTGGAATTAAATTACGGTAGAAAGAAGAGGGCTAAGAAGCTAATGGAACGAATGCGTATGAAGCTGAAACACAATGGTGAAGTGATTGCAAAGCTAAATGAGTTATTTGCGGATCTTGTGGGTCGTAATGTTTAGAACAATATGTATTCGATGTTGTTTGAACTTGTAAGGTTTGATTGTTTTAACTTGTAAGGTTTGTTTGTTTGTTTGAACTTGTAAGGTTTTCATTAAAAATGGAACTACTGAGCCTAGTAATACTAGTATTACGAATTCAAACCAAATCAAAACAACATAGATTTTTATAGTAATACAAATACTATGAATTTAAACCAAATTAAAACAGCATAGTTTTACTTAGTACTACACATTCATACAAGTACTATGAAACCACTCTCCTCTTTCATGTCAAATAGTTCACTCAAGTTATTTCATTGACCTTGTAACTGGCCTCTGCCTCTTTTCCCCCTGATGCCTCTTTACCTCCTCTTGCCTCTGCCTCTTTGCCCTTTCTGGCCTCTTTACCTCTGATGTTTGTTCTTCATTAACCTGCTCAAACCAATTCTTCTCTTGGATTGAAATAGGAGGTTTCAGATTATATAGGGTATCCAATGCCTCCTTGATATAACACCTCGTCGCGACCTTTATCTTTTTCTTATAATCTGTTGGTGGGAAGTACATCTGCAAAGGTTGCAGTGCTTCGGATTCCTCCTCGGAATCCTGCAAAATACACATAGTTGTACCAAGTGTTACCAAGTTACACTTTTTTCAACAAGTAGTTTTACTTAGTTCTTCTAGTATTACTGGTAGAACGAGCAAACACAACCATAGTTTTACACGAAATCACGAGAAAACACCACAATAGCTCACATATAAGCCGGAAATCATGAGAAAGCACTTCAACAAAACGAAATAGTTGTCCCTAGTTTTACCAGTATTACTTAAAACCAAATAATCATAGTGACCATGAATCACGAATTCACGAACAACAATAGTTCATACCAAAAAAAAATCCAAGAGCAAACAAAACACAAAATGATTAATTGCTTCATATTTTTCTAAACTTTCTTTATAATATAACTAGTTTTTCCTAGTTCTACTTGATTTTGCTAACTACTTACACTTGAATCGCCGTGTTTGCTCACGGGTTTCATTACTATTTCAGTCGGAGCTCTCACAGATTTTGACATCTTTATCGGTTTCTTTCATCGATGAGTTTTCGACAGCTTTCTTCCATCGATTGGTTTTCAACAGCTTACTGAGATTTGATCTTAGATTCTGGTACCTTTTCTCCCACCTTGTCTTCCGCTCTTGCCATCTCTCTCAGTTTTTCTAAGTTTTTTTTGTCTGAATCGAGTGTCAAAGGCAGAGGAGTGAATGTTTGGTGATTGTGTTCTTTAACTTTTTAATTTGCAGTTTTCTAAATCCAAGATGATAATAAAGTTAAATTTTTTAGGTTTATTTCAGGTTGATCTATTAAATTTGGGTTTAGATAGGTTTAGTTAGGTTGGGTTTGTAATTTTAACAAAAACAAAGGAAAAAATAGACATATACAATGATTTTTGCATTAAAAATATTTAAAAAAGAAAATTAAATTAGAATATGGTTTTTTGGAGATTACACTTTTAGCTAGAGGGGCATCTGAGACGATTTCTCCTTCCAAAGGCGAATTAGTTGAAGACAGACTTTGGTTCTTTGAAAAAGTTGCTTACTTTGATTATTTGGGGCCACAGGCTGGAAAGCCTTTAATTGATAGAGAAGAAACTATTCTACCCTCCAATGATCTATATGCCCTTTATAGGTCCCATTTGTTTTAATGAAATATACAATTCCAAAAATATCATTCCTTCTTTTTCCACTTATATTAAAAAAATGTTGATTAAAAAACAAATTAATAAATTAAAAATATTTCGACCAATCACATTGAAGCACGAATTTCTTCTTCGTGAAAGCTCCTTTTTCGTCGCATCCCTGGCTTCAAAATTCATGTGAATTCTTCTACTACTGTTGTGTTTTAGCTTAAAATTATCGAGTCTGTTAGTCGATTTAGCTGTATAAACTATTTTCATTATTGTATTCGAAATTTAGAAATTTTAATTTTGGGATTCGGATCTGTAAATTGGTCACATACAATATTCAGATATATGACAACTTAGTACAACTAGAATTACTGAGAAATGATGTATAACTAGTATATTGATTAAATTTATTAATTGATTTTTTTTATGTATAACTTATTTAACTCAATATCTATTTCAAATAGTAAAAAAAAAAATTGTATCCAAATTTGCCAAATAAATTTAATTTTTTGGTCAATAGATATATTAAACTTCATATCTCTTCATATATTCCTTATACTTTTATGGTTACTGTGTGGATAATAACCTCATTATTACGTGAAACAAAAAATAAAACATTTGAACACATATTATTATATGAAAGTATAGTAAATGTATTTTAGTTATCAAATATCATAAGTACAACTACAAAAAATTAATTTAGAACACGGTTTAACTAGTTAAACGTAAAAACTCTCAAAATACAACTATGTGTATATCTCAGTACACCTGAACTTTTGGGTACAACTATTTGACCAATTTTTCATTGATACATGTGGTTGTTGATGAAGTCATGTGTTAAATGAGGTAATTATATATATATATATATAGATAGATATATATATTTTTCTTTTAAACACGTGTTTTTTTTTTTTAATTCATTTTTTCTATAACACGGGTGTTATGTTTTTTAATTCATCTAAAATCATTTTTTAAAAAAATATTCTTTTTAACTTCAGTTGTACCCGATAATTCCATTAGTATCGACTCAGTTGTTCGTAAGAAATCTATTTGTACCTAATAATCACTAATATCAACTCAGTTGTACTAAATAATTATATTAACCGAACCAACACATCCTCTGAAGTTCATCACCACATGAAACACAATGCTCTTTATAGCCAAACGAGCCAAGATATTCTGAGAAGTAGGGGTTGCATTGTCCGAAAGAACAAGAACCGATTTCCTTAAGACGAGCTGCAAGCAAGAGAGTCCTAATCTTTGGTTGCGATACCAATTTTACTATCAATACCAAGGGTTAGATATGTGCAATGCATTAAGCAAATCAAAGGACCGATTCCATCTATCACTGCAGTATTTGAACAGCTCTGAAAGGGCTAAGCTTGCTAACAATCCAACCAATACAAGCAGCATCTGATACCTACACAGCACGACGAACAAGAACACCAAATTCAACACTTCAGTTACACATAATTTCCACGAGTTTATTCGACATTCGCATTCATACATAACCCAAGCGAGCAATTTAGACCTAAATAAAGATAAGTTTAAGAGTATGAAATCTATACAGTGCGCAAGCGAAGAAGACGATGAAGAGCGTAGCGTAATTCCTGGCGAATCACTTTATATTCTCATGGACTCTCATTCTCGCTTGCTGAGAAGACGACAGGAACGAATAAGAGTCAGACATGCCAAAGAGGTGGTCCACGGCATCTCACCTGAAAAGTCATCGGCGGAGAGCTTGTAGAAGGGGTTGATGGCCAGAAGAGAAGAGACAGTGACGAGTCGAGACAGCAGAGAGGCAAAGAAGCCGCCGGTTATGGAGGAAACGACATCGTCAGAGGCCGACGAAGGTGCGGTATATGAGGATGATGATGAGGCGGAGGCCGAGGCGGCTGCGGCTGGGAGAAGGATTTCGGATTGAAGCTGAGAAGGATTTTGTTTCAAGCTGGGAGAAGGATTTCGGATTTTCGCTGGGAATCTGGGATTTGATTAGCGATGCAGCATCTGAAGTATCATGTGGTGAATTTGGTGAAGGTGAATGAGTTTTGGCGAATTTGGTGAACAATGAATAAGTTCTCGCTCGCTCGAAGGAGATGAAGTCGTAGGTAAAAAAAAGTGGATTTAGATCCAGTTCATTTTGGATATGGGTGTGGGTAATCCGAAGGAACAATGGCTGAGATGCCCCTCGCGGTTCGAAAATGATCCAATATTCCCCCTTATTTTTTGGGTTATTTTATAACATTTATTTTAAATAGAGAAAAGGAGTAGATATCGATTATGTCCCTAAAAACTTAACTAAATTACTGACCCAACCAAAACAAACCCACCCAAACCCTAATCCGTCCATATATCGCGGATCCTAGTTGGATCTTACTGTAAAAAACCGCCTAAATCACCCTTATCTCCTCTCAATCGATTAAAAGTAAAATTTAGGGCAAAATTTAAAAGAAAAAAGCGGACAAAACGACGATTGATCCTAGTTCGTCGGGACCACTACGAGCAGTTACTAAGAAAACTAAGTCAAACTCTCACCACATCAATCGATTTGTAGGCGAATCAGAGAAGGTAAGTGTCGTAATCTTGTCGGTTTTGTGAGATGGATGTCGATATAGATTCCATTGTAACCGATTTGGATTGATCATGTAGGCATATGGCGCGTACAAAGAGGCCGAATTATGGTTTAACCGATGAGGTTCCAGCGGAGGTTCGAAGATCTAAGAGAACCTCTCAGGTTGTCTATGAAGACTCGGACCCAGAATCTTCAGAGAACGAAGAAGCAGGAGGCAACGATGGAGGCGACGGAAGCAGCTGAACCGTCACAGACGACGGCACGTCCGATTCTTCAATGGTATGTACCCGAACCGTCGTTACTTGTTTTAGAGTTTGAAAGAATTCGTTGGTTTTAGGTATCGAGTTTGGTTAAAGTACTTTCGTTTTGGGTGATTGATTGTATAGCGAGTCTTTGTTTCTAATTTAGAATTTAGGCTATCAGGTTTTCATTTTCATTGATTGTTGATTGTTTGTTTCGAATTAGTAATATTCTGAGTTTTTTAGTAAAACTGGTACAACTGGTAAAACTATGGTCATTTCGTATGTTAAGAATATCTGGAAAAAAAGTAATACTTGGTACAACTATGTTGCAGGGAACCGAGCCAATGCTTCCTATAGAGATGTACTTCCAGCCAACAGAGTACGTGAAAAAGATCAAGCTGTCTACAAGGTGTTATATCTCGAAAGCAGTGGATTTACTGCTAATTGGATTAAAGTATCCACTTAGACCAGAGGAGAAGAGTTGGTTTGTGGATCACCCCCAATTCAAACATTTCTTCCACATGCACAAGGACTCAAACCACAAGTTAATGGGGATGTGTTTGCTGATTCTTCAAACGGCGGTTACAGAGAGGAAAAAGGAAGCCTGGTTCATTGTGAATGGTGTGCCCATTCGGTATAGTCTACGTGAACACACCCTCATCTACAGTTTAAACTGTCGCAGCTATCCTCCTAACTATTCGGAAATGGGCAGTATGGAGTTCGTGGAGAAGCACATTGGGGCGGGGGAAAAAATAAGATACTCAGATGTGAAAGAAAAGCTGGAGAATATGAGATATTCTCCAGATCGGTTAAGGATGGCCATCTTTTTCTTTCTATCAAGCGTCATTATTGGGCAGTCTAAGACAGGAGGTGATGCTACTTGTGTGGAGCGGTTCTTTCAACGAGCAGTCAGTGATCTGCATTTGTGTAAGACATTTCCCTGGGGGAGATTGTCTTTTGATAACAATATGGAAGAGATCCAGCATATTGTGGATCATTTTAAAGGGGTTGTTAGCGGATCAAATTGGACTTTTCCAAGCTTCTACATTCCTTTGGAGGTAAATATGAATATATGTAGTACTTATATTTCCATAGATTTGAAACTAACTCGAAATATATATGGCATATGTAGCTTCTAGCGTTTGAAGCAATTCCATCACTGAAGAAGAAATTCCGAGAAGTTGTTCCATCTGCGAGGAAAACTTGTCCGAGGATGTGCAAGAGCAAGTTCAAAAAAAAGCGCCATGTAAGGATTTTCTCTCGAAGAAATAAATGAAGCACTTGGTACAACTAAGGTCAGTAATACTTTTAAATTCGAACGTTTAAATTTTCACATTTTTAATTTATTTATGATTGGAATTGCAATCTTTGTTTATATCCACAAGAGATTGATAGCATCTTGGTCCCTTACAATGAGGAAGAAGCTTTTGTGGCTCGAGTGACTGAAGAAGATGACGATGATGATGTCGATGATGTTATTGTTCATAGTTGGTTGAAGTGTATTAACGATGAAGACAAGCCGGTCTGTTTTGAACAGATGTACGAAGAAGACGTGGCCGCCCGACTAGAAGAGCAGCCCGTCAATGCCGCCAACGCCGCCAATGCCGCCACTACTTCCGTCACTGACTTGGTTAAGGTCGTACAGAGTCTGGAGACGGAAATGGAGAGTGGGTTCAAGGAGATGAATGACAAGTTTGCTGAGTTCGATACAAGACTTGCAGCAATGGAAGGCTATGTGAAAGAGCAATTAGATGCTCGAAGCATGTATGAGGACGTCGATTATGATAATTACATTCCTCGTTCTACTGTGAATAAAAATGATGGAGCGGAAGGAGCAGATGTAAGATTTAGTTGACTTAGAACTTTAAACGAAAAAGTCATACTATGTAATACTAAGTACAATTGTGTGTTTTGCAGGGAACCGAGCCAATGGGTGAAGTACATGTGGTCCCGGAAGCAGATAAGGGAGCAGAAGAGGTGGTCCCGGAAGCAGATAAGGGAGCAGAAGAGGTGGCGGATGAAGAGAAAACAGCAGAGGTAAAATTTGGTTGACTTAGACCTCTAAACGGAAAAGTAAAACTATGTAACACTAAGTACAATTGTGTGTTTTGCAGGAAGAAGAGCAAGAGCAAGAGCAAGAAGCAGAGGTGGCGGAAGCAGATGAGGGAGCAGAGAAGGAGGCGGAGACAGGCGTTGAGGAACCAGAGAAGGAACAAGAGAAGTAGGAAGCGGCTAAGGAGGCAGAGGAGGAAGAGGAGGAGGTGGCAGAAGAGGCAGAGGAGGCAGAAGAGCGAAGCGGTAATTCGCCTTCAATAATGCGATGTAGCAGTGTTATAAGAGTAGGAGGCAGAATGCTGAAGGTCCCTAACAAGTGTGTGGCTGCTCTTTTATCTAAAGGGGGCGACAAAGCTAAGGAGATAGAGGAAGCTAAGGAGGCAGAGGAAGCTAAGGAGGTAAATTTTCTAATTCTTATACCCTGAAACAGAAATGTCACACTATGTAACACTAAGTAAAACTATTTGTGTTTGCAGACAGAAGGGACATCTTCCGCGCGGGGTAAGCATGTGTATCGAAGAAAAAAAGCGGTTCACAGTCCCAAGTGGAGAAGGAGGCAGCTGACGAACCCCGGAAGAGGAAGATAAAACGTTCCTAGCATGTGCGACCTCCTTACACAGAGGAAAAGGCCAAGAGGGGCAGGAAAAAATAGTCCAGTTGGACTTAAAACATTTTCTATTTTGGTTTTCAGTATGAGTTAGAACTAAAACTCGAATGCTGATATGTTGTTTGGATTTAAATGTATTTCATTTGGTATGGTGTTTTAATTTGTTTGGATTTGGTGTTTGGATTTGGTGTTTTAATTTGTGTTTGACAAAGTAACAAACAAATGAAAACACTAAAAATAGTTATAAAACATTGAAGTGCAAAGCATACATTTTAACTACTTAAACACTAAAAAAAATATTTTCAAACTAAGAGAATTCATACATTAGTAATACTAATTAAAATACCATTGACAAGCAAAATGGAAACGTTAGTCTTGAACTACAATTAAAACAACAATTAAAGGAAATTGCAGATTTGGTAAGTCTTGAGCTTGGCTATCTCTTCGGCTTGGATCTAAATCTGTTTTCGCATTTCTTTAATCGTCTTGCTCTGCTCTTCAACTTTCATAACTAGCTTCTCAATCTCTTGTTCGACTCCGAAAACCCATGGCTGACGAAAGTGGAGTCCATCATCCTAGCAAAAAAACAAAAAAAACGAGCAACATCCATTATAGTTATACCTAGTATTCCAATTTTACACCTGAAGAACATCTAAATAGTTTAACCTAGTTTTACTAGTTTTACCCAGAAAAAAACCCAGATCTGAAATTATAGAGATTATACCTTAAATTTGGTGCAGGTGAAGTATCTATTGTCTGGTTGAGTATCGAAATCGTGTTTAAATTTTGGAGAAGGAGATACATCGTGCTTGATAGATCCACCACATGGGCATCTTCTCGGAATCCCATATTGGCCGTCGGCGACGAATCCAACCATGTCCCAATACTGCTTCATCTTCTCCATTTCCTTGCAGCGCCTCTTCTCTTCCTTCAACTCCTCCTCGTATGGATCGATGAGGAAATTGTCTGTGTAGTGATAGCTACAATCCGAATCCATTTGTAGAGAGAGATGAGAGATCAATTTTAAGAGAGAGAGAGATCGACTAACCTAAAGAGATAAGAAAGAACAAACCCGAGCAAAGGTAAAGGATACGAAGGAGAGGCCAAAAAAAAACAAAAAAAAACGAGCAACATCCATTATAGTTATACCTAGTATTCCAAGTTTTACACTCGAAGAACATCTAAATAGTTTAACCTAGTTTTACTAGTTTTATCCAGAAAAAAACCCAGATCTGAAATTATAGAGATTATACCTTAAATTTGGTGCAGGTGAAGTACCTACTGTCTGGTTGAGTATCGAAATCGTGTTTAAATTTTGGAGAAGGAGATACATCGTGCTTGATAGATCCACCACATGGGCATCTTCTCGGAATCCCATATTGGCCGTCGGCGACGAATCCAACCATGTCCCAATGCTGCTTCATCTTCTCCATTTCCTTGCGGCGCCTATTCTCATCCTTCAACTCCTCCTCGTATGGATCGATGAGGAAATTGTCTGTGTAGTGATAGCTACAATCCAAATCCATTTGTAGAGAGAGATGAGAGATCAATTTTAAGAGAGAGAGAGAGATCGACTAACCTAAAGAGATAAGAAAGAACAAACCCGAGCGAAGGTAAAGGATACGAAGAAGGAGAGGCCAAAAAAAGTTTGGAGGAAGAAAAGCGAAGAAGAAGAAGGTGGGGAGGAGGATGAGAGAGAGAGAGAGAGAGAGAGAGAGAGAGAGAGAGAGAGAGAGAGAGAGAGAGAGAGAGAGGGGAGGAGGAAACTCGAATCTGAGAAGTGAAAGAAATCCTTAGGATCCCGATTTCTATAATTTACCCTAAACCGGGAAAAACCGATTTCCCGCTCCTACAATTTACCCCGATTTCTCGCTCCTACCATGTTTGCCACCAAAATAACACGTGCGCCGTTTTTTGCTTACGTGGACGCCGCCAAAATTACACTTAGTAATCCATAGTTTTTTATTTATACTATTTTCAAATAGTTATACTTTTGGGTGTTTTTAACTTTAAATAGTTATACTCCGCAATAAATTTCTTGTTTGTAGTTTTACAGATGATTTTAGTCCTTCTGTTGTTAAGCCTGAGGGTTTTATGTATTAAAAATGTTTTAAAACTCATCATATCTGTCTATGGCTTCATATGGCGGTTAGTATTTAGAAAGTGTTCATAGAAGTGTATGATGTTTATTGTGTAAATGTTCTTTATTTGATTGTTTCATATTGAATGTAGGTTTTCCTAATAATTTTAAAAATAAAATATAACTCTAAATAAATTAATACAAGATTTTTTCATACTGAATGTTCGAAATTCAATTAAAAACAAACCGACTCTTGAATACAATAAAAAAAAACCGTCTTAAATACTATCAGTTGCACCAGTTATTCCAAGTGTTCCGAATACACAAAATAAACACAAACGAGCTACACAGTTTGACCAGCATCACCAGCCTCGCCAGCCTCACTATTACCACTAAAGAAATATGACCACATCCCTCCTCCTCCTCTTCCCCTTCCTCTTCCTCTTCCTCTCCCTCTCCCTCTTCCTCGGTGTTCTCCAGCTGATGGGAACCGGTTTTCTTGAGGTCTTCCTTCTTTTGCGACATAATCTGGTGGTATGACAACCAGGCTTTGTATATGCTCAGGAATAATCCAATCAGACCTGTGTGGTACTGGATAAACGTCATGCAATACGCTAATGTCCATACCTCCATCCAATAATATTTCAAGCAAAACTCTTGTAGATGAAGTTCCCGGCCTCCGCTCATAAAGATGGCAGCAGCTATTGCATGCACACATGGGTATCTGTCTATATCAAAACACTTGCAACTACAGCTTTTCCTTTTCATATCAACCAAATAGCACTTGCCGTCTTTTCCAATGACATTGAATTCAAGGAAGAAGGCGTTCAACTCATGCACCGTTAATTTCTTCGCTTCCGGTGATATTTTATGCAGTTCTTTCTCCACATAAGGCACAAGCTTATTGGTGTTTGATACTTCAGAAGAACTGTTCCTATGCTTATCAACCAGCTTATCAACAATCACATCAATCATTGGTAATAGAGCGTACTTCCTTGCTTTCCTAAGAACACCATTAATATATTCTACAATATTGGAGGTGTCTATGTTGTACCTTTCTCCTGGAAAATAGCATCTTGCCCATTTGTCCACAGGAACACTACCATCAAGATACTGGGCTGCGGAAGGATACTTGGTTCTAAAAGCATCAAAAAGTGTCAGGAACTCACTCTCTGTATACGCATGAGCGCATTCTTTGAACTTCATAACGCATATATCTTTGTTGACATAGTAGACATTCACTTTTACATTCTGAGATAAATGTTGAATATAATACCCATGCTGAGACAACGGAAACACCGCCTGCACAGACTTGATGAGGCTTGATTTTCTATCAGAAAGAAACACCAATTCAGGATCATCCGGTATCACTGATTTCAACATGTTCATAAAGCACATCCAACTAGCATCTTTCTCACCATCAACTACACCAAATGCAATTGGATAATGGTGATGATTAGGATCTTGAGCTGTAGCAACTAACAAAGCACCACCATATCCAGTCTTAAGGTGGGTTCCATCCACAACAATGACTTTTCTCATGGCTTGGAATCCCTCAATGCTAGCTCCTAACGCAAAGAATAGGTACTTGAACTTTTTGTTTTCATCCAATTCCACATAAGTCTGTGTACCAGGATTCATCGACTCCAGCATGTACATATAGGAATACACCAACTGGTAACTCTCGGCTGGACTTCCCCGCACATCATTTGCAGCTTGTTTTTCCCCCTCAAAGCAGTAGAGTATGATACTTTTACCCCAAGTCGTCCTTGAACCATATCGATCAGATGTTTTAGAGTTGGAGTGTCAAATTTACCCGGATAATCTTCATGCACAACAGATGCAACCAATCCCGGTGTCCCTTTCCTTTTATTCCTGACTGTAACTGCAGAAGTTCGAGAGCATGTATGCATCTTGTTGTAAGTTCTTACCGAGAAACAATCTGATTCCATCAACTTTGCAGCTCGTAAAGACCACTTGCAACCATTTTTTGCTTCACGACATTTCACCACGTATCGCTTTTTGTCAGACTTGATTGTACCAACCTAAACAATTCTGATGTGAGCCTACATGAACTAAATCTTGCACTGTCTTCTTACTTCTAAATTATTGACCTACAATCATTTCAATACCATCTTCTCAGCCATTATTTACCGCTACTTCTTCTATAGCAGGTCCATACTCAGTATCATCAACCTCTTCCCTGGACACATTTCTTTGTTCTGCTTGATGGACATCTGATGGTTCACCTCCATGAAGAGTAATTATACCAGCATTAACATCCATACCACTTGAAAACACCTGCTCATTACTTGGACCATTTACACTTTCGCGATCCTCTCTTGAAGGTCGCACAACACCCTGATCGACATCTTCCACGATCTCCACGTGCAAAACACTTCTACATGTATCGTTATTCACTTGCATCAGGTAGCCAAAAATATTCTCATCATTCCAGATATATGATGGCTTCTGATCCACTACCAATGGAAAGTAACTGACTTTCAGCTGCATATTAGCTTCATCTATCTTCATCTTCCTGTATATTCCACTGATCAACCCAGCATAAGTTACCTCCTCAACAGACGTCTTCATCACTAAGGTGTGAATTTCATCTTCTCTTGATACCCATCTTATGACATCACCTTCCTTTGAATAAGATCCCCCATAATCGAAGCATATAATAGTGCAACGACTTATATTCATTGTCCCCTGAACAACAATAAAAAATATCATTAGTATATGTCTCAATCATATCAGTCCTCTCACTAATACAAGCAGTAATACTAGTCTAGTTATACCCAGTTGTTCCCGTAATACTACTTCTATCAGTATTACCAGTTTTCTAAACAATGCTTAGTAATACCAGTTGCTCTCAGTAATACCTGATGTCTTAGTAATACTAGTTGGTCCAATAGTACCCAGTTCGTGTACCCAAAAAAATTCTATTTATCTACGAATCTCCAATGATTTACTACGAATCAGGATGATTTGATATTCATTTAACGATTATAACTGCTCATATTTACCGACCTACAACCCTTAGCAAATAATTTCAATTATTCATTCATCCACAAAAATTTCAGAACAATAGCACCATTAGAAGACCAAGAGCAATAATGTGTAGCACTCCCTATTATTCTAAGATTCATAGTGTATGTAAAGGAGATAATGCGGCAACAGACTCACCTTATAAAGTTCTCATACAGCTTTAAGATGGAGAATGTTGGGTTTTGGGAAACAGGAGGAATGAAGAATCTGCCAACCAGCGAAAGCCATGATGAAGATGAAGATGTGGGGTCTGTCGGTAGTTGAGATTTAGTTGAGAATTTAATTATAGTATTATGGATTTGTTTTTATTTTTATTTATTTTATTAATTTTTGGATATTATTATTTTATTGAAGAAGGATGAGGGCAAAATAGATAAAAAAATAAGAGAAGGACATTGAGATTAAGAGAGAAATAGTCAGATTATTTTTAGATACTTAAAGGATATATTGACTCTTTATCCTAATCCAAATAATAGATGATTGGGTCTATAATTTTTCATTATATAAAGGGGTTAGATGACTTTAGCCTGTTTTTTTATTAAAATTAAAATCAAAAATAAATTGCTAAACATAGCATATTTCAGCTTTAGTTTTAACAATGAAGGGCTTATCAGCCATTGATTCGATTATTTAGAGTTCCGGGTTCTTCACACAATCAGTTTTCACTAGATTTGGGTGCTGTTTTATGTTTGTTATCTGCTAGATTGATTTTAAGACAGTGAACGAGGTCAAGAATGGGGGCACATACATCTTTCTGGTTTGATAAATGGAATCAGATTGGTCGGCTTTTCGAGCATACCTGAACACAGGGGATGCATAGATTTGGAAGATTTGGCTTCATCTCTCAATAGCAACGGTCCTTCCTACGCATCCACGAAGAAAACACCGGATTGAGGATAGATACTCTTGGCACAAGAGAAGTGTCACATGGGGCTGATCGGGTCTTATGGAAGTTCGAGGATAAATATAAGCCAAGATTCAGCTCAAAGGAGACATGGAGACTCACACTGCTCGTTCGCACTCTCACTGCTGATTCTGACTTTACTCTTTTCTTGAACAATAGGGAAGACATTACTCGCAAAGACATTAATTAGCTCGGCTTGTAAATGTTCCTTTTGTCATTGCTGATGCAACTACACTGACTCAGGTAAGATTGTTGTTTGGGTTGGAGATAACTTCGATGGCTATTTTGGATCCAAACAGAACATGTTACTATGTTAGGCGTGGCTCCTGGAAAAGTGATTTTGTATGTTGCTCTTTGACCCAGCTTTTGTATGCTGTCTTTACAGGCTGGTTATGTTGGTGACGATGTTGAATCAATCCTTCATAAGCTACTAACGGTACCACTTCTTACACAGTCACGATATAACATTCCAAAGCACACTTTCCATCTTGTTGCGTTTCAGAGGATTTCTTTATTGACTTGTAGGTTGCTCAGTTCAACGTGCAAGCAGCACAGCAGGGAATAGTCTACATCGATGAAGTTGATAAGATAACAAAGAAGGTCAGTATGCAAGACAGTGATTAACTCGTGAACTCGATTAGAGCAAAGATAATTGGGCTTTATGCTTCCTGGATTCTTCCTTCTGCAGGCTGAGAGTTTAAACACTAGCCGAGATGTTTCAGGGGAAGGTGTCCAACAAGCACTTTTGAAGTTACTGGAAGGCAGTGTAAATTGATTGCTTTCTTACCCTTTGATGCATCTACTGGAAATCTGGAATCATTGTTCTCTAGACATTAGGAACTTGCTTAGCGAGTTATAGTCTCTTGAAGTGATCCTCATTAAAAGGTCTTTGCAATATACCAAAAGAGAGAATGGATAGGGTATTGATTTGACATTTGATGTATGTGACATCACATATAATTACTATTCCATTTACAACATCTGTTTTTACTTCTGAGGTTCTTTCTCCCGAAGAGAATGGTTCTGGATTCATGCTTTGCTTCTGTATTAATCGTTGGATCTTCTTCTTTCGTTTCCAGATTGTAAATGTTCCAGGGAAGGGAGCAAGGAAACATCCACGGGGTGACCATGTACAGGTTTAAAGCAGGAACTTTATCATTGTCCTATAATCGTTTAGTTTTATTACGTATCTATAGCTATAAGTGTTGTTTAAACATATTATTTATATTGTTGGATGTCATATGATGCACAGATAGACACAAAAGATATCCTCTTTATCTGTGGAGGAGCATTTATTGACCTTGAGAAGACCATTGTGGATAGGTAAATTCACTATGCTTTCTCTTTGTTCCAACACACTAGTGGTTCTGTTTCAACTTTGGTCATCATCTCTTAATGTTTTGCCAGACGACAAGATTCATCGATTGGCTTTGGAGCTCCTGTCCGTGCCAACATGGCTACCGGTGGAGTGACCAGTGGTGCAATAACTTCATCTTTGCTAGAATCGGTAAATACAAAAAGGACTCTGTTAAGCCTCTGTTTCCATATGTAAACCACTTCTCTCATTCCTCTGAAAAGAGATCTTAGTTTCGGAATCCTTGCTGCATTTCAGGTCGAGAGCTCCGATCTTACAGCGTATGGCCTTATACCTGAGTTTGTAGGACGCTTTCCCATATTAGTTAGTTTGTCAGCTCTAACAGAGGACCAGCTCATTCGGGTAATTTAACATTTTTGTTCGTAGTTTTATCATGTTGCTACTTCATAACAGCTAGTGAAATCAAAGTGAGATTAGTTATTGCCATCATCGAGGTCTTGATTTTACCCTTCTCATATATAATTTTGCCTTGGTTGTTTCCCCTGCAGGTGCTTGTAGAACCCAAGAATGCTCTTGGGAAACAGTACAAGAAACTATTTAGTATGAACAATGTAAGCTCCCTCGAAATATACACTTGCCAAGACTTAAAATGTAACAGTATTCAGAAACTTGGACTTTTGGCTCCTGAACCTGAATGCTCTGTTGCAAAATTTCAGGTAAAGTTGCATTTTACTGAGAAAGCTCTCGGGGTGATTTCGAAGCTAGCGATGGTGAAGAATACAGGTGCGAGGGGACTAAGAGCCTTGCTTGAAAGCATTCTTACAGAAGCCATGTTTGAGGTACTTCACAGCGACAGCAAAGATTGTAAAGCTACTACTGTATATGACTCTTGCCTTCACACTTGTGTTTCTTTTTGTTCTTCTCAGATTCCAGATGCTAAGAAGGGAGACGAAAGAATCGACGCTGTTATTGTAGATGAGGAATCAACAGGCCCTGAAGCTTCCCGTGGTTGCACAGCGATAATACTTAGAGGAGATGGAGCTTTTGAGCGTTACCTCAGCGAGAACAAGTCGAAAGATGCTTCAGAAACAATGGTATGACCATAAGGATCCTTTATTGGCTGCTCCTTGAGTCAATCTAAACTCGTTATGATCCTCAGTAATAACATTAGTCTCCTCCATGGAACCGTCTCTTTTCAAAAGTCTGTTGAATAGTTATGTTTCTTACAGACAAAAGTCTCAGTGTGTTTCTTTACTAAACGTTACTTGTGTCTGCACTGAAACCTGATGGGTGTTTTACAGGTTGAGGAAAGAGTAGACTCAGCGAGAGCAATGAGCTTGTAAAGAGAAACAGAGAAGAACGGTTTTGTTTTTTTTAACAAAAGGAGTTTCTTGATTATTTGTAAAGAACAAGCATTCATATAAAAGTGCAAGAGGAGGATTTATCCGCTTTGTACAATAAAGTTGTTAGCTTACAGATTCGAAAGTTGAATTATTTTACATAGAAAAGAAGAATAGGAGTGTATTCTTTGCTTTTATTCTATGCTTTTATTCACACTGTGTAAACACAAACATTTGTAACTCTTTGCTTTTATTCTTTAAAGAAGTTGAGTTTCAATTAATCTACTGCACATTACATTGTAGCCAACAACAACACAAATAGTAACAACAAACCCTAATTACCTTCTTAAATTGTACACAAAGATAAAAGTAAACATATACGAAACCTAATTATACTCAAATAACCAAATCATCCCTAATTAGCATCCTAAATTGTACTACAAAGATTAACTAAAACCTAATTCTACTTCCGAATTACCTAACTCATGACTTGAAACCCTAATCAAAGACTTCTCCTCTCCAAAGCTTCACTCTTTTATACAGGTCGACGGCAGAGAGGGCATGAACTATGTCGAAGAGACCACTTGATGAAGCAATCTTCATGGAACTCATGAGCACAGTGAGGCAACTGCAAGATGGGACTACTCTCTGGTTCTGAGTCCGACATGTTCTCCAAGCAGATCGAACAAATCTCTGGTTCCGAATCTGTTGTCGTCGTCGTAGAAGGAGCAGAACTAGGAGGCAAGACGATGTATTCTCTGTGTGTAAATTTGACCAATAGAATCATGAACAAGGGACCTTGCGGCAAGTCTTTCCGTTGACTCTGGTCAACAATCCCATCGGTAATATGCCGAGACAAGACATGATCGTGGAATTCGTCATAGACGTGTTGATAGACATAGTCCGGTGAGAAGCTGTGTAGTTTGAGACAGGGCACTGAGTCGCGGAAAGTGGAATCCAAGTAAGACCCTTGACTCGAGACACGACCATCGTCTACGATGAATCGCTCAAAGAACCGACTTAGACTTACGAACACATGGCTAAACCCTACCGATGGATTTTGAGTCATTGTAGAAGCAGTGACATCTATCTTGACAGGTTCGTACTCCATTGTCGTTGTTGAAATTCAACAAAAGCAGAGAGAAAGATTTGAGTCGTAACGCGTAAGTAAGAGAAAAGAAGTGAGAGAGAGATTAATTTGTTGTGGAAGATTGAAAATTAGAGATGCGAATTGTGACAAGAGTCCTTTGCGGCAATGTGATGTATAATGTATTTATAGATTGCCCTAACGGTCATTAAATAACGCGTAAATGAAAATGCCCTACCGGTTTAATTACGATGTGGGGTGATTCTACCGGAGCTGCTAACCAAGTCGTTTTTGGTATTGTTTATCTGGTTTGTTATGATGGTTCATTGGGTTTAAAGTTAGCTTTTGAAAACGACATCGTTCAGGTTTCTTTTGTTTCGACTAAACTGATGTCGTTTCGTGCTTCTTCTTCCAAAGACGAATTAGTTCAAGACAGACTTCGATTCTTTGAAAAGTTGCTTACTTTGATTAGTTGGGGTTCTGGGTTCTTCGCACAAGCAAGTAGATTTTAAATTTTAACTAGATTTGGGTGCTGTTTTATGTTTGCTATCTGCTAGATTGAGTTTAAAACAGTGAACGAGGTAAAGAGTGGGGCACATACATCTTTCTGGTTTGATCAATGGAATCAGATTGGTCGGCTTTTCGAGCATACCACAACGGTCCTTGCTACGCATCGACGAAGAAAACATCTGGCGGAGCTGTTGAACAGGATTGAGGATGAGATAGATACTCTTGGCACAAGAGGATTGTCACATGAGGCTGATCGGATCTTATGGAAGTTCGAGGATAAATTAGAGCCAAGATTCAGCTCAAAGGAGACATGGAGACTCACACGGATAACTCAAAAAGGTTCTGTCTTTTCACTTTGCATTTAGTGCTCATTTCTGATCATGTCACTGCCATCAATTATGTACTTACGACATTGTGGTCTTGACGACTTTGATTCGCAGGTGCTCTCTGTCGCTGTGTATAACCATTACAAGAGAATATATCACACGTTTATGAAGAAAGGGTTGGTTCTCTCTCATTCATTGTTTATTCTCCTGGCTTAGTCTCATATAAGACTTGTGTTAGAAGCTGACATTGTGGACCTTGGATACTGGTCTGCAGCACAACCAATTGATGATGACGACAATGTAGAATTAGATAAGAGCAATGGTCTCTTGATGGGGCCTTGTGTTTTCTGATCATGTTCTATTCTTTACCTGCTCGTTCGCGCTTTCACTGCTGATTCTGACATGTGGTTTGTTTATTCGATTCTTGAAAAATAGGGAAGACATTACTCGCCAAGACATTAGCTCGGCTTGTAAATGTTCCTTTTGTCATTGCTGATGCAACTACACTGACTCAGGTAAGAATTTGAATTTCTATATTCATATGAGTTCATGATTTTCAGCATTTCAATCATTGGGTTGGAGATACTTTGGATGGCTTTTTTAGATCGAAATGAAAAACATGTTAGGCATAGCTCCTGGAATTATGATTTTGTATGTTGGACTGTGACCCAGCTTTTGTATGCTGTCTTTATAGGCGGGTTATGTTGGTTGTTGGTACCAGGCCTTGAGAAGGTTTTATTAATCAAATCGGCCCAATAGAATCTCCAGCCCAAGAAAGAATAAGAAGCTTCTAGCCCAGAGTCGAGAATAAGATCAAATAAAGTTAGCTCGGCCCAAATATGAGGACAAAGCCTAAAAGAACCAGTGCGGCCCAGATTCAAAGATGAGACTCAACAAGGCCTGTTCTGTCAGAAAGCCCGCGAAGCCCAGCAAAACCATTGCCCTAATTCCTTAAATAAGACCGTATCTCATTTTGTTGAATTAGACTCTAAATACGTGTCTCGCTTTTGAAATTCTCACTTTCTTGAGGTTCTTATTTTCAAGCTTCTCACTCGGAAATCCCCATTTCGAAAATCCCATTTTTAATACTTTTTCGGTCTCGTTTTGTAATCAATCAACTCGTATTATTAATAATAAAAAGTATTACCCAAAAGTTGGATTCTAGGAACCAACATTGCTGACGATGTTGAATCAATCCTTCATAAGCTACTAACGGTACCACTTCAGATTCAGCCACGATTTAACATTCCAAAGCACAATTTCCATCTTGTTGCGTTTCAGAAGATTACTTTATTGACTTGTAGGTTGTTCAGTTCAACGTGCAAGCAGCACAGCAGGGAATAGTCTACATCGATGAAGTTGATAAGATAACAAAGAAGGTCAGTATGCAAGACAATGATATAACTCGTGAACTCGATTAGAGCAAAGATAATTGGGCTTTATGCTTCCTGGATTCTCCCTTCTGTAGGCTGAGAGTTTAAACATTAGCCGAGATGTTTCTGGGGAAGGCAGTGTAAGTTGATTGCTTTCTTACCCTCTGACGCATATACTTGAATCTTTGTTCAGTAGACATTAGGAACTTGCTTAGGGAGTTATAGTGTAGTCTCATTAAAAAGGCCTTTGCAATATACCAAAGGAGAGAATGGATAGGTTATATGATATTTGGTGTATGCGACCTATCTGTATTACTTCTGAGGCTCTTTCTCCCGAAGAGAATGGTTCTGGATTTATGCTTTGCTTCTGTATTGATCATTGGATCTTCTTCCGTTTTTTCCAGATTGTAAATGTTCCACGGAAGGTAGCAAGGAAGCATCCACGGGGGGAGCATGTACAGGTTTAGAGCTAGAACTTTAACATTGTCCTATAATCGTTTAGTATAATGACGCATCTGTAGGTGTTGTTTACTCATATTATTCTGTTGCTGGATATCCTACAGATAGACACAAAAGATATCCTCTTTATCTGTGGAGGATCATTTGTTGACCTTGAGAAGACCATTGTGGATAGGTAATCAACTATGATTCCTTTTTGTACCAATACGCTAGTGGTTCTGTTTTGACTTTGATCATCATATCTTGATGTTTTTCCGGGCGACAAGACTCATCTATTGGTTCTGGAGCTCCTGCCCGTGCTAACATGGCTACCGAGTGACCAGTGGTGCAATAACTACATCTTTGCTTGAATCGATTAAGCCTCTGTTTCGCTATGGAAAGAGAGATCTTAGTTATGTAATGGCGGCTGCATTTCATGTCGAGAGTTCCGATCTTACAGCGTATGGCCTTATACCGGAGTTTGTAGGACGCTTTCCCATATTAGTTAGTTTGTCAGCTCTAACAGAGGACCAGCTTATTCGGGTAATTTAACATTTCTTCGTAGCTTGTGTTTTATCATGTTGCTTGTCTGCTTGATAAGTGCATTTCTGTGAAATCAAAGTGAGATTAGTTGTTGCCATCATCGAGATCTTGATTTTACCCTTCTCATATATAATTTTGCCTTGGTTGTTTGTAGAACCCAAGAATGCTCTTGGGAAACAATGCAAGAAACTATTCAGTATGAACAATGTAAGCTCACTCGAAATATACACTTGTCAAGACTTACAATGTTACAGTATTTAGAAACTTGGACCTTTGGCTCCTGAACCTGAATGATCTGTTGCAAAATTTCAGGTAAAGTTGCATTTTACTGAGAAAGCTCTCGGGGTGATTTCGAAGCTAGCGATGGTGAAGAATACAGGTGCGAGGGGACTAAGAGCCTTGCTTGGAAGCATTCTTACAGAAGCCATGTTTGAGGTACTTCACAGCGACAGCAAAGATTGTAAAGCTACTACTGTATATGACTCTTGCCTTCACACTTGTGTTTCTTTTTGTTCTTCTCAGATTCCAGATGCTAAGAAGGGAGACGAAAGAATCGACGCTGTTATTGTAGATGAGGAATCAACAGGCCCTGAAGCTTCCCGTGGTTGCACAGCGATAATACTTAGAGGAGATGGAGCTTTTGAGCGTTACCTCAGCGAGAACAAGTCGAAAGATGCTTCAGAAACAATGGTATGACCATAAGGATCCTTTATTGGCTGCTCCTTGAGTCAATCTAAACTCGTTATGATCCTCAGTAATAACATTAGTCTCCTCCATGGAACCGTCTCTTTTCAAAAGTCTGTTGAATAGTTATGTTTCTTACAGACAAAAGTCTCAGTGTGTTTCTTTACTAAACGTTACTTGTGTCTGCACTGAAACCTGATGGGTGTTTTACAGGTTGAGGAAAGAGTAGACTCAGCGAGAGCAATGAGCTTGTAAAGAGAAACAGAGAAGAACGGTTTTGTTTTTTTTAACAAAAGGAGTTTCTTGATTATTTGTAAAGAACAAGCATTCATATAAAAGTGCAAGAGGAGGATTTATCCGCTTTGTACAATAAAGTTGTTAGCTTACAGATTCGAAAGTTGAATTATTTTACATAGAAAAGAAGAATAGGAGTGTATTCTTTGCTTTTATTCTATGCTTTTATTCACACTGTGTAAACACAAACATTTGTAACTCTTTGCTTTTATTCTTTAAAGAAGTTGAGTTTCAATTAATCTACTGCACATTACATTGTAGCCAACAACAACACAAATAGTAACAACAAACCCTAATTACCTTCTTAAATTGTACACAAAGATAAAAGTAAACATATACGAAACCTAATTATACTCAAATAACCAAATCATCCCTAATTAGCATCCTAAATTGTACTACAAAGATTAACTAAAACCTAATTCTACTTCCGAATTACCTAACTCATGACTTGAAACCCTAATCAAAGACTTCTCCTCTCCAAAGCTTCACTCTTTTATACAGGTCGACGGCAGAGAGGGCATGAACTATGTCGAAGAGACCACTTGATGAAGCAATCTTCATGGAACTCATGAGCACAGTGAGGCAACTGCAAGATGGGACTACTCTCTGGTTCTGAGTCCGACATGTTCTCCAAGCAGATCGAACAAATCTCTGGTTCCGAATCTGTTGTCGTCGTCGTAGAAGGAGCAGAACTAGGAGGCAAGACGATGTATTCTCTGTGTGTAAATTTGACCAATAGAATCATGAACAAGGGACCTTGCGGCAAGTCTTTCCGTTGACTCTGGTCAACAATCCCATCGGTAATATGCCGAGACAAGACATGATCGTGGAATTCGTCATAGACGTGTTGATAGACATAGTCCGGTGAGAAGCTGTGTAGTTTGAGACAGGGCACTGAGTCGCGGAAAGTGGAATCCAAGTAAGACCCTTGACTCGAGACACGACCATCGTCTACGATGAATTGCTCAAAGAACCGACTTAGACTTACGAACACATGACTAAACCCTACCGATGGATTTTGAGTCATTGTAGAAGCAGTGACATCGATCTTGACAGGTCCGTACTCCATTGTCGTCGCTGAAATTCAACAAAAGCAGAGAGAAAGATTTGAGTCGTAACGTGTAAGTGAGAGAAAAAGAAGGAGAGAGAGAGAGAGAGAGAGAGAGAGAGATTTGTTGTGACAAGAAGAAAATTGGAGATGAGAATTGTGACAAGAGTCCTTGCGGCAATGTGATGTATAATGCATTTATAGATTTCCCTAACGGTCATTAAATTGTAACGTGTAAATGAAAATGCCCTACCGGTTAATTATGATTTGGGGTGATTCTACCGGAGCTGCTATCCAAGTAATTTTTGGTATTGTTTATCTGGTTTTTTATGATGGTTCATCGGTTTAAAGTTTAGCTTTTGAAAACGACATCGTTGGGGTAGGGTTTTTCTTTCGTTTTGACTAAACGATGTCGTTTCGTGCTTCTTCTTAGACGGACGAATTAGTTGAAGACAGGTCTCCTCTTCGTTCGGACATTGAAAAAGTTGCGTACTTTGATTATTTGAGGTTCCGGGTTCTTCGCACAATCAGTTTCACTAGATTTGGGTGCTGTTTTATATTTTTTATCTGCTAGATTGATTTTAAGACAGTGAACGAGGTAAAGAATGGGGGCACATACATCTTTCTGGTTTGATAAATGGAATCAGATTGGTCGGCTTTTCGAGCATACCGGAACACAGGGGATAGACAAGCAATTGCGTAACCGTTTCACAACAATGCGTAACATTTCAATATTTTTTTTAAAAAGATTTGAGTTTAAAAATGTAAAGGAAATCGAAGTTTTTTGTTTATGCCCATTTGTGTCTAGATTTAAATTGTGGAATTGTTCGCGTTTAATTACGTCATATGTGATTTCTGATGGGTGTTTTTGGATTCTGGCTTAACAACTATTTACTATTGCGTGTGAGAAACACTCCACTTCATCTTCTTGAAAGGTTTTAGATTTGTATCGTTTTACTGTTGATGTTGAATTTTTTAGCCTCTGCATCGACATAGTCGTTACTCATCAGTGCTCTCTTCTCAACCTCACTGATGATTAATGTATGTTCTCTTATCTACTTTCAATCCGATTGCTAAATCAGAGTATAAGGTCTTCTTTCCCCAATTTCTTTTCTCTGTTTGTGACTTTCCCTTAAAGGGTTTCAGTAAAGTTAAATACTTTTGGTAATTCGAACGATCTTTCAGGTCTATGATTATGTTGGTGGAGACTGCTGCTTACACTCAAACACAAGAGAGCGTTAACAAACTCTCCGAGAAGTGCAAAGATTTCAAAGTAGCAAAAGCTGAGAGTCTCAATATCATCAATCTCAGGCCATCATCTACTGTAGAATTGATGCCGGTTTGTGGTTTCTCTCCGCTGTTCTATCTTCTAGTAATTAATCTGGTATATATATATCTCTGTGATGCTCAAATGGGTATGGGTCTAGGCATGTGCTTGTCCTCCTCCTCATTCTCTTTCTTGTTGATGTTCATCTCCTTTTGTTTCAGCTTCACTTGTGGTGCTATGATGCTTTCTCCTTTGACTTTACTTCTTCCATGACAACATTGGTATTAGTACTTCGAGCTCTTATTTGGCTTGTACCACTGATTGATTGTTGCCAATTGTAATCTCAGCTTTCAACAAATTCAAAATGTCTTCTGATTTTTTTTCATGTTTGGTTTTGGTCTCAAAATAATTCAGAAAAGTAAAAGCAAAAGAAATTTTCGGTGTTACATCAGAATACTCTTGCTTTGTCAGATGTGATGAATATATGGTTGACCAATAAGATTGATGAGGCCAAAGACTTGTCGTGTAGCAACTTCATCCTAGAAGTGGACTTTGATGAGGAGAATAAAGTGCCAGTGTGTTGTGATGAATTTAAGACCAGAGCCTACATTGTTGGGAAGGATATGTATAAACAAGTTTATAAAGATACTACAAAGGGATCTTTTCTCAACTGGCCACTTCCAAGTTTGGTTCACATTCAGAGAGATACAAAAGAAAAGGAGGTTAGTTGAATGGATTGCTTAGTTTCTTTCTTTCTTCTGGTTTTGGTGAGCGACAGTACAGTGAGTTGCTAAAAACGGGTTGTTTCTATTTAGTTGATAAACAGAGTAACTGGATTAAGCTCTTCTTTTGCTTTTGAAATTGTAGCAACTAAATAAAAGCAGCCTTTATAAATTCTGAATCACCGATTGCATACACATAATGATTCGGGCGTAGTTTAGATTGGATGCTTATGGAGAACATAGCATATATTAGAGAAAATAAACGTTTATACAGTACATTAACTTTTTTCACACTGTTTCTTACAGTTAACAGAAAAAAAATGAAGTCACTAACATAATGAAACTCCTTTTACAAGACAGAAACAGCATAATCTTCTTTGGCAAATTTAAAATATATTTCTTGTAGCAGGAACCTCACGTCCTGTGACTCAAACTGATCTTCCTTGACACTGAAGAACCCACAGTGAACTTCCTTGAGTAACTTCAAAACATTGGCCAATCCACCGTCGTTTTCACTCTCGTCTCTCTTCTCCTCAGAGTAAGAAGTTGACTCTTCTGGTAGGCCATCGACTCTGAAGTAGTTGTACTTGCTAATCTCCACAAGGTTACTCTTGTGATGATGGGTCCAAACGTCAGGCGTATCATCCACAATCACCACTCCACGCTCCTCGGACAAGACCAAATCAAGCGTCTTCATGTAAGGACTCTCGTCTCTTGTAATCACTCTCTCCCCAAAATAGATTCTCTTGGGATCAACCAGCTCCAACACGGCTTTAGCGTAGTCGCGGTTGCCCATTGTGTAAACATACATTGTGAACATCTCGCTGGCTTCCTTCAAGAAGCTTCGAAGAAAAGGCCGTAGCTTTGTCAAGTATTCGGCATCCAACTTGCAAAGATCTTCCCTTGAAGTCGAATCCGCTTCTTCGATTAGATACTTTTCTGCTTGGGAGAGATATGAGACCTCGGTGGAGTGGAGAAGCGTGTGGTCCAGGTCAAGGACAAGGTGAAGCTTCTTCTCCTTGAGACAATGGAATCGCGTTGCAGAACGCTTCGTAAACGCCACAGCTTCGTGGCTTAGCTGCAAACCCTGTTCAAGATAATCGAACGGTCGGCCTTCGCGTTTGTCCACCGTCGATTCACAGGCGATGCAGACTCCGTGACGAACGTACCAGTGACCACAACTAATGCGAAACGGCGACGAAGAGGACTCTTTGATCGCCGGTTCGAATCCGAGAGAAGGGTTCTGAACCAGAGACATGATTTGTCAGATCGATATAGTCTTCGTTGGGTAAACTCTAGATTAAATCTTAGAACCCCCGAGAAGAAAAATCACCACACGAAAGTCGGGAATCAAAAGGAAACCTCAGGAGTCGACAAACCCTAATTTGATCGGACAATAGAGAGAGATCGATTTGGAGAAATTAACGGGAAACATTATCATCTGACTCTCGTCTCGTATTTATAGGAGGAGCGAGAGGCTCATATGCCATTATTTGCTAAAACCTGATCTCACGTGCCATCTAATATCTGAGTGTCATTTATATAATGTGATATATCATTTGGCTTTTAATAAATTGATTAAAATTATTTAATTAAAAAACAATTTTATATAATAAAAAAAAAGTTTAGTAGATATCTGATAATTAGATTTCTCTGTTGATTTTTTTTTTTCTCTTTGAATTTGTTCAGTGTGGTTTCTTCGAATTCCAAACGTCTGATCCTCTTTCTTTAGAATTTTTTTGGTGCGGTGCGCTACGCGAACAAGCAGTCTAATATAATATTTCTGACTCGGTAAGTATGCCATTTGTCCGGAAATAGTCTGCTAAAGAATGGGTAACAGACTTAGTAGAAGAAGGTTAACGTTCTGGTGTGACCAGTAGCCACATATTATCTCAGGATTGGTCGTAGTAAAAATAGATCAACATAAATATATAAAATTATAAAATAAAAAATAAATAAATTACTAATAACTGTAAATTCTCTTTCGACTATAAATTTAAAATACTATTTTGAATAATAATAACAAAAGTGAGTAAGATTGGTGATGAACTTACTTTGTTAAAATCGATAAAAATAAGTTAAAAAAAATAATTGAATAAAAATATTTAATAGAAAACATAAATATTTACAGTATAAGAAAATAATTTTTTTTTCAATTAATCATATTTTTATTAGAAAAATAATTTCATAATAATCTCACATATTTTATAATAATAAAAAAGTAAAATTTAAAATTTAAAAATATATAAATATAAATACAAAACAATATGAAATAAAGAAATTGATAAACATAATAATATAAAGTTGTGAAATTAAAAACTTAAAAATTGAATTTATAAATAATCTCATCCATCTCTAGTTAATAGAAATAAGTTGAATACTTTATTAAAATTTCATTAGCGAAGATACTGAATTTATCCTTCTATCAATTACGTTCGATATTGAGAGATAGATCCATCATAAGCAATAAATCCAAAAACATAAATAAAACTTATCAAGACTAGTGACTCGATCGGTTCTCTCTCTCATTGCAGAGACTATCATTGCTGAGAGATGATGATGGATCGCTGCTTATTGATTCCTTTATGACTTGTATGTCAAATACCAATATATTCGAATTTGTTTACTAAATGCATATCTATTAAGTCTGGCGGCAAATGCCTTTGATATTCAAAAGCATATAGGAAGCAAGCAAAAGCTACTAGACATAGACATATAAATAAAAGGAGGAACAAGACAAAGGCAATATATAGTCCTTCAAGACATAGGGAAAATCCATCGAGCATCCTTGAGATTCATGTTGGAAGGAGGAGTAGGCAAGGGTTCGAGGGTCTTGGTTGCAAGATTGAAGACACAGATGTCAACCATATACGGGCGCTGGACATGAGGACGGTGGCGAGACGTCCCACAACAGAGACGGTCATGACGGGTGTAATAGATAGTGTTTGGTTTGATTCCAAGGGCAGGGTTCGCAGGCACTGTGATACCCAAGTCGAGAAGCAGGGCCTCATCACCAATAGAATCCACCTCAACAAGATCGGGCATAAAGTCATCTGGGTGCGCGTTAGGATCCTTCTTGTAGATGCAGAAGGTCCTCTCGCTTCTTTCAAAGATTGTGTTCGTGACCAACAAAAACTCTCCTGCGGTTGTAACAGCGACGCTAGAGTGCCAATTGTATGATCCAAGAGGAGAAAACGTTGGGGATGATGGCTCACTCCCGGTGAGTTCTTCGAAACCTTTTTCTCCAGAAAAATCTATGACCCTAACGTAACTACGAGTCGTTAAAATGTATAGACGGTAACCCCGAAGAACAAAACTCCGTAGGCCGGTTAACATCTTGGGGATTTCAAACCCAACCGGAATGAAGTCGTAATGACGGTTCCCTTTCTTGTAAGAGCATAAAAAAGTGGCAGGGGCGTCAAAGAACCACACTACAGCAAACTCTTGCGTCTTCTCGTCTACCCATAGACGTCCCCTGATTTCTTCCGCGAACTCTTTGAAAACAGTGCCATCGGTTAGTTCCAACGTAAACTCACCATCTCTATCTTCCACACGCTTCAGAGCAGAGGTATTTGATACGAGCGACTCTAATGGAGGAAGATCGATCCTGTTCTCGCTAAACACATCTGTAACATATAGATTGGATCGAGAATCTAGCATCAAGAACCAATTACCGCAGCTTGCAAGGAATCGAGTCCCTGAAAAGTCTCTAAGGATCTTTTCAATCTTGCCTTCTTTAGGGTTGTACAACACACAAAGACCGTCGTCTAGGAAAAGCGTCAGCAACGGAGATCCGCTTAGACTCGAATCCGAACGTTGATTGAGCGAAGATATCGACATTATCAGGATACCTCAGGTTCTCTCGATTGGGACTTAGGTTTAGCTACGCGTGAAATTGGGAGAAAGTGATTGTCGTTCGTATATATATATGTTATGTGGGTACAGAGATGTTTCGAGGGTTTTGTTAGTAAGTCAAAATAATATGATGGGTCATATTTGTGTTTACAGAGGAAAATTGGCTATTTCATGGCCAAAGTGTAGGTAGATGTTAAATTTACAGTAAAACCTCTATAATTAATAATGTTGGAATTAATTTATCGAGTATTAATTTATAAAGGTTCTACTGTATATATGAATTCGGTATATAATTATCCTAATTTATATTCTAATTTAATATTTGATATATATTTTTTGTGCTTAATTAAACCTATAATCGACCAAACAATACTATTAACTAGGTGTTTTCCCGCATTTAGTGCGGAGTTTGATTAAATTTTTTAAAAATTAATAACATTAGTTTATTTATAGATAAAAAATCAAATTTTATAATTATTAAACATCAAAATTAATATATTTAAAAAATATAATTTTCATAAGATATATTATTTTTGTGATAAAGCTAAATATTTTATTTAATTTAATTTTTAATATCTTTTATATTATCCGATAAAAATTAATATGTATGTTTTGTTGTTTTATTATATTTATCAAACATGATGAATAATTCTCCTTTTTGGGATTTGTTGGCCTTGTGAAGCTTTGTAAGCTTTTTCTCCTTCTCTCCACAACAAATTGCATGTTAGTTTCTTCTGCCTTAAAGGTTTGCGAATCTTAGGACTTGGATTTTTGTTTTAAGTCTTGTCTTGAAGAGAAAAGAACCAGAGCTAGAAGAAACATAATCTTAGTGCCCAATCCAAGAAAATGTATGGGTATTCCAGCGAACAAATAACCTTCTCCTTCTCATACTCAACATTTCCATTGTCAAATATTTTTCACTTCCATTGCTTATCATTGCCTAGGAAGATCTCAGAAATTAGATAGTAAACTTCACCACCACACATAACATAGCAATCGATTTTGGAACCAAAGCAAATCATCAATAGTGTCAACTATTGTATGTTTAATTGCGTCCTAGATTGGAAGAAGGATCTTGTGTCTTGGATTAGGAAAAGGATATGTTTGAGGATCAAAAGCATGGTTATGGGTAATAGAATCAGAGATCGGTGAGTTATGAATCTTATTCGAACCTGCGACCGATCTCAATTCACATGGAGGGTTAGTCTTACCTTGGCCCTGGAGATCATTGAAGACGTCAAGCCTTTTGTCCCAACTGTCCTAACCCATGCCTACTTGACCATTTACGTCAGTATTTTGGTTACTTTGTGCAAACATATATATATATATGTCCCCTTAGAGGAAAAAATAAGGTAAAAACTCTTTGATGATTAAGTTTAAAAGAGACAACATGAAAGGTCGAATGGCCAAGAGCATGACCAAAAATTGGTTTCAATTCCATATTTGAAATTTCAGACAAACATAGATATTATATCAATTCTTTATTAAAACTTAAAACTGAAATTAGAAATACTCAATTTAAAAGAGGAAAAAGACAAAGTACTTAATAACAATAATAATAGCAGTAACAACAATGCATTATAAAGAAAATCTTGCTTGTTTAACTAAGCTTGGCAAGAATATTGTTCAAACTCCATACCATCTCTGTGACTCTATCTCTGAGTAATACTTCTCAGCATATAAGCTGCGTTTTGACCTTGCCGCATAGTCCAGCTTCCACACAAGAAAGAACAATCTTAGATCAATGATCAATCCAAACATTAGAAAGAATTTTGTGAATTAAAACACTTTAAAACTTATTCACCAAGAAACCATCGGAAAACAAAACCCTAAAAGAAGAAAAAAACTTACATTGTTGATGGTTTGGAAGAGCTTGCCGCTGAGTTTTTTAAGACTCTATTTCTCTTCCCTTAAACCTAGTGGAGATAATGGTATTCATGTCTCTCAAATGGAGGTCGTTCTGAACGTAAGGCCAAACTTTTTTATCGATCAATGTCTTAATGTTAATGATCCTTTTAACAGATTCTTTGGTCCTAGCTGCAGCTTCTGTTGGTGAAAATGGCTACAAGTAAAATCTGTCTCTCAATGCCAATGAAAATTCTCGTGCTTGGTCTGAGTTATCTACCGCAGCTGTTCTAACACACAAATCAAATCCACATTAAGTCAAACCAAACATAAAAGTAGAACCAATACCTAGAACCAAATTAATTATTTCTTCTCCAACAAAACTCTCAATAAAACTGTAACTTCGAATCTTCTACGACTGTTTTTTTAAAAGAGATTAGAGATCTAAAACGAAAGTTGTGGAGAGAGATGTACGATATAGAGTTCTAGAAGGGTTTAAAGGATTTAGGATTTTAGTCGTGGCCGAATAAATCAATTAGGTTAATCAAAAATACTAGTAGATTAAATGAACAAATTAAAATTAGTTTAAAGAAATAATTAAGATTATTTTTTTTGTGATTTATGCTAGTTATCTTTATTTTTTTAGTAAAGTAAATATTTTTATGATATAAACTCAAATTTGGAAATTTAGGTTTTTTAAAAAACGAAAATCAATTAAAAATTGTATTACATTAATTTGTTAATTTTATTAAGGGTAAATAAAATCTTTTCATATAAGGAGCAAAGAGTAATCAACCATCATAACTCTCAACCACAACCCAACTTGCTTGCCAGTTAATAATATGATTTGTTAACTATTATCGATGTGGTTGATATGTTGGAAACGACGTTGTTTTTCAAATATGAAATTTCTCACCATATAAGAAGCAAAGAGTAATCAACCATCATAACTCTCAACCACAATCCAACTTGCTTGCCAATTAATAATATGATTTGTTAACTATTATTGATGTGGTCGATATGTTGGAAACGACGATGTTTTTCAAATATGAAATTGTCACCCAATTCTGATATACAAGAGGAATTCACCTTTGATTATGCCTTAGAAAGCAGCTGGTAACAATAGCTTCAATCATTTAGAATTGGCCAACATACTGTACCTATTCTAATATTTCAAGCTTACTGAGAACTTCTAATCGATAAAACACAAAAAAGTATAAGAACAACTCTTCTTATTGATTTAGAAACTTCTCAAAACTAATTTTTACTCTTGAGTTTTATGAAACATCTCTACATAATCTCTTATTTATAGAACTAAGCTACTCCTTATTCTATTAGAAAACATATATCTTGTTTAGATACTACTGTATCTAAATCTCTTATATTATGAATCATATTCTCTATCTCTTTAAGCTGCTCCTTAAGAGATAACTTCTTCTAGAAGTAATTGGAATTATCCAACACTTTCCCCCTTAATTCCAACTTGAATCTTGGGATGAAACTCGATTGCTTGAACTCCAATTAAGCTCTTCATTTCTTTGAACTTAATCCTTGCTAACGGTTTGGTGAGAATGTCCGCCTTCTGTTCTGTCTCGGGGACATGCTCCACTTCGATCTGCTCATTCTCGAATAAAATGGTACTTAGAGAGTAAGCTGTGCCAACATTATCAGCTGTCCTAAACGATAAAATATAAAAAATCATAAATTAAAATAAATAAAAACCTATTTATAATAATATGTATTATTGAAATTTATTGTATCTTTTCTCTGTTTCTAATTAATTGACATTTTAAAAAAATTTCTTGTTCTTCAAAAATTAATATTGTAGTTTACTTTAGTATATTTTACTTTAAGAATAAAATTTTATTTTACTCTCATTGGTCAAAAAGTAAAAATTTTAAAAAAAGTAGTTACTAAAAATTGATAATGATTGTCTCTTAAGATATATGAAAAATCTAAAACTTCAATCTATTTGGAAGGGTGATGAACTGTATTAAAAATATGTTTGTTAATTTATCCATTTTTTTTTTAACTATTAACTATTGTTCCATAATTTTTATGTGATTTCTCAAAAAGATTTATGTTTCATCATAGATTATAAAGCTATTTAAGAAATTATTTTTAAAAATTATTATTTATAATTTACTATACGAAATTAATAATAAAATGATGCCCTTAATTTTTTAATTTTTTTTGATGCCCTAAAAAAATGTTTCATTTTTTCTTATGTAGGCACGGCACTGGAGAGTATGTGTTTGCTTCCGTGAAATATCAGGTTCTTGGTGAGGGCGATGGCTGACTTATTGTCGATCCTTAGTATGACCTTATCCTCATCATCTTGAATCTCCCTTAACAGCTCTTTAATCCATATTGCTTACTTAGCTGCTTCTGTTGATGTCATAAACTCTGCCTCACATGAAGATAATGCAACGCTTGATTGCTTCTGTGATGTCCAAGTAATCGGTGATGATCCGAAGTAGAAAACATGACCCAAGGTGCTTTTGCCATCATCTACGTTAATGTTGTGACTGTTATCACTATACCCAATGATCCGCTTTGACCCATCCTTCTTGAAAAACAGGCCTTGATTAGTAGATCCTTTTATGTACTTAAGACCTGTTTCAATGCTTGTCCATGTGATTCTCTCGGACTTTGCATATAACAACTAAGTACTCGAACGGCAAACCCTAAGTCCGGTCTTGTGTGAAGAAGGTACCTTAAGCATCCTATAGCTCTTTTATAAGCCGTGGCATCTATCTATGTTCGTCTTCTGCCTTAGAAAGCTTTAAACCAAACTCCATTGGCACATGAGTCGGATTACACGAATCCATTTTTGTGTCAGCTAGAATACCTCTTGCGTATCTCTCCTGTTTAGTTCTGATTCTATCTTCTCCTTGAATTACTTCAATTCCAAGGCAGTATGTCAGTTTGCCAAGATCTGACATCTCAAATCTCCTTGACATGTTCTGTTTGAATTGATCAATGATTGTCCATGAAGTTTCTGTTACGAACAGATCATCGACATAAATCGCTACTTTCAAGAAGTCCTTTCCCGTCTACTTGAGGTAAACGGATGTTTCCTTTAATCACCTCTTAAAGTTCATCTCCTTGAGAACATGATCAAGCTTCACATTCCAAGC